CTATTCGAACAGAAAAAGGGAAGCAAGCATTCAGTGTTATGGCTCCTATAGCATGGAATCTGACAGGTTTCAGGCAGGAATGACCCAGGGTGCAGGCAAAAATCCAAAGTAATAAAAATATTTATTTAACAAACAAAAGAAGGCTGGTGAGGCAACTCAAAACACTTATAGACACTTAGGGGAAACAACCACAAAGACACACACAGGCTGAGGGGATGCAGCACCGTACAATGATCGGACAAAGCACAGAGGACAGAACACAGAATATAAAGAGAAACTAATTAAAGGACAATAAGAAACACCTGGCGGAGACACAAGAGGAAACAGGTGAGCATGGGCGGGGCTGGAGCAGAGCAGAGAAACACAGGGGAACACTGAAACACTAGAAAACTAAAGTAAAAACACAGATCATGACAGAATCAGCTCCAGTCTGAACTCAAGATGTCAGATTTTATTACATTAGATATATTTCAAGATRTTCTGAAAAACAAGCAGTGTGATTCATCAGTGTCATTGCCTGTAAACTGTTTTGTAATGTGTTTTTAACTTGTGGATATGTTTTGTTTATTTTTGTGTAACCAGGTTGTGTGTTGCAGATTCTGCCCAGGTCCCTCTTGCAAATGAGATCTCCATCTCATTGGGGTTTTACCTGGTTAAATAAAGAAATTTTAAAAAAGAGACATTGTTTTTTTATCTGGAGAATTGCACCCAAATTTTGTTGTGTAAAGTTTCATTGTTACAATGACAAAAATATATTCTATTCCATTCCATTCCATTACATTGTTATGATTATATAGTTTTATCATGTTTGGATGTGTTTTATAATGACCTGTACCTGAGATAAATAATTTCCGCCCTCGTATGTGTTGCAGGATCGTCGGTATCTGTCTCTGTTGGGAGCAAGGCAGAAGGCTTTACAAATCGACTGGTTTTCTCCTCCTAAACCAGGTGAGCTGGTAAACATGAATAAATGCCTCTGACAAGCAGTCAGTGTGCAGTAAACCACATTAAAGGTTTTAAAAGAAATCACAAAGTTTAAATACAAATACTGTTTTTTTTAAGTTTTTCCAGCTGTGTGTTTGAAGCAGGAAATGTTTTTGTGTTGCAGTGCATCCTCAGTTTCTGGGCACCCGTGTCTTTGACTGCTACGACCTNCTATAAAGATTTTGTAGCATTTTACTTGGGTATAGTTGATTTAGTCTGTAGATTAGTCACTCGGGTTGATTAAGGTAACTTGTTTTGTTGGTTTCTCAGGATAACCTGCTTTGTTACTACATGAGGTTATATGGCAGAGGATATTTTGTGATAAAATAACCATATGGTGCAGTCATGGAAAACTCATGGTGCCAGTATGTAAAAAATAAGGATATTACAATTTATA